TCCTTGGAAACAATAGTCCTCCACTTGAGTCCTCAGCCCATTGGTCCCATGATTTTGGATCACACTGTCCATATCCTTCAAAGCTTTCCTGTACTCCTTCAGATGGGATAGACATGCAGCACGTTGGCGAAGGCATCGGGGGTTGCCATTGCTTGCCAAAACAGCCAGCGAGTAGTAGCCCATAGCTTTGGCATGGCATTGCTCTTTTACCAATGCATTTCCTTCTTTGGCTGCTACCTGTGGATGGAAAGGATATCCATGAGTGCCACCCTAGGTTGGTTTCTTCGTTGACAAACCTTTCACCAGGAGTACACATCCAATCAAGCAAGTCATCAACCGACCTTCTTAAACAGTGAGGTTATCAATTCAGTGATTCAACTCCAATGTCACTGGAGCCGTCAAAATCCAGTCCGGGATCCACAGGTCTGATATTTACAGGAGCTATCCACAATGCTGAAACCTGTTCTCCAAAGGACAAAGAATCTCCAAAGAGATTCAGGACCACGGATAGCTCCCTTTCACTGCTTGCACTAAAGTTCATCATGCTGTGACACTGGACTTCTTAGTTGACGTCTTCAACTAAATTGGAATGTGTTCCTTTAAAAGGAACTGCCATAATCTCCCAACGCTGCATGGGTCTTGGCCAAGCTGGCTAGGACCACCTAAGGCAATGCTTCCCAACCTTGAGTCCCCAGATGGTCTTGGACTACAACTCCCCGAAAACCTGGTCAGTGCAGCTTGTGGGGAAGGCTTCTGGGAGTTTTAGTCCACCTAGAGGCCTAAGGTTGAGAACCACTGCTTTGGTATTGTACCTAGAGTTCATTGGGATGATACTTCCAAGTAACACCCATGCTTAAGAACATCGGGGGACCCAAGGTTGGGAACTGCCATTCTAAGGACATCTATAAAATACATTTTTCTACAAATTCTGATCCCACAGCTAGATGCAAGTGTCTCTATATCATCCTCAGACAGCCAAACATATTAGATAATAGGGGTGTAGGCAGGACTTGGAAAAAACTAAGATTTCAAACTGACTTGGCTGATTCATATCAGGATCAGACTAGAAAGAAATGGGTAGGTTTGGTATCAGACAAAGTGAGACAAATTTAAAAATCAGTTCCGCTCACAAATCATACAGCATGGGGCACCAATAGCTACAGCTTACTAGTTGTTTTTAAGCAATTTTTAAAGGCATCCACTACACAAACCGAGGAATGTGTCTATTCGGGAAGTGCACCGAACCAAGTGCATATATTAGGTATGTGGGTTGTGCCAAGTGCGTCTGAATAAACCTAGAAACTAGCATTTTCTTGTAATAAGGGCAATTACATAAATAAGAGCAATTACATAAGAACCTGAGAAGATCTAGAGAAACATCCATGTTTATTCCAACATTTTGTTCTCCAAATGGACAACCAAGGGCCAGTAAAAAGTCTGGCTATTACATGCCGTCAAGTCAGAATGGCCTTAAAGCATGTTTGATGGAGCTTTTAAGGTCATTGAGATATTTGAAGAGTGGTTTCACCGGTTCCACTCCCCAGATGAGTTTCCATGGCAGAGTGGGGATTTGATCACAGGCCTCTTGAGTCCCAGTCCATTGCTCTATCCACTACACCAGGCTGGGTATTGAAAAAGTCTATTGGCAGGACATCCTGCCACTATCTCAAGCAATTGCTTCCCCCAGACTGTGTGTTAAAAGCAGAAACTGCACCCACACATGCGTATATTAGGGTTTTATATTTTTTTTAACCAATGCAAAAGTTATATTAAAGAGAATGAATTAAGGTGGGAAGATTGGAGATCTGAGATTGACAGAGCTCCTGATCCATAGATTTTGAAGACTAGCTTGATGCTTCTCCTGGAAATGGGGATGACTTCATTCACTTGCTAATAAGAGGGGAAGAAACAGTAATCAACCGAATTCAAAACCTTTCCCAGGGAAGTTGACTCTCTCTCGTTCAGGTAGACCAATTAGGCAGAACCCATTAGAATGCTGCAGCTCTAATGTATCTCTCATTTCCTGATAAATGAAAGCCATGTTTTCCGCACTCTGCTCTTGAGTGAAGGTCCATGCAATTTAAGTCATAAATAAAGCCACGATCAAGCTGGCCGGGCTGTAGCTTTCACGAAGATGCATGTCCATGTTTTTCATGTGGCTGGAGTAGTGGAAGTGAAGAATGTTACACCAACACTTTGCACAAGACAACTATGCATCAATAGAGGTGGTACAGACTGTTAAAGTGACCCTAATGCAGTGGTTTTCAATCTAAGGTCCCCAGATGTTCTTGGACTACAACTCCCAGAAATCCTGGACAGCACACCTCATTGTGAAAGTTTTTGGAAGTTGTAGTCCAAGAACATCTGGGGACCCAAGGTTGGGGACCACTGTCCTAATGCATTCTCAACTCTTGTTTATCTGTCCTGTCTCCCTCTTTGATGTAGACTGCTACTCTTAGGGAGGACTTAACTCCTTCTCCAGTCAGTTTGCTTCCAGATCATTCTCTATCCCATTGTAGAGATATGACAAATATTGAAAAATTTCTCCTCCTCCAAGATTTCCCCAGTCTCGCGTCCATCAAGATTTTCCCCCTACCAGCAAGATTTCCTGACTTCTCCATAAAGAGAGAAGAGGAATAATTTGTTCATTTACATGTTATCAAGTCACAGCTGACTTATGGTGTCCCTAAGTAAGTTTCTGTGGCTAAGTGAGAATTTGAATCCAGGTCTCCAGAATCCTAGTCCTTAACCCTATCCACGACATCACACTGGATCTCTGAAGGAAGGGAACGGAAACTTTTTTGAAATGTCTTCTGCTTCTGGCCCCTTCCATCACATAAAGGTTAGGGGTTGTGTACATCATGCTATAATGCACAAGTAGGCGTCATGATTTTTGGAACGCAGCGGCTTGTCTTTGGTGATATTAACCAGATCCTTTAAGGCAGTGGTTCCCAACCTTGGGTCCCCAGATGTTCTTGGACTAAAACTCCCAGAAGTCTCCACCACTAGCTGTGCTGGCCAGGATTTCTGGGAGTTGTAATCCAAGAACATCTGGGAGACCAAGTTTGGGTACCTCTGAATTCGGATTTATAGAAGTGTGGATCAAAACATTGTCATCGAGGCGACCAACATGAATTTGACCCAACTCCGGGAGGCAGTGGAAGACAGGAGGGCCTGGTGTGCTCTGGTCCATGGGGGTCACAAAGAGTCGGACACGACTAAATGACTAAAAAACAACGAACATCTGGGGCTACATTGTGTTGCTAATCCCAACTAGAATAAGCCAATGAAATCGATTGCGGAATGGTAGATCATAACTCATTACATTCCTTTCTTCTTTGCCTGGACTCCTGAGAAAACAGTGCAGGATAAATGAGGGACTGAACTATTCATATTATCTGTGAACCCCGCTGATGATCATGGCCATGGCCACTTGTCATGCATAGCCTGGACTCCCCGTGGTTTTCATGGAAATCTAACCGCTGGCACATACTTATGAAAAGCTGCCCCAGAAAAAAGAATCTGACCATAATTCAGTCACAGCTTCCCATTTGCTGGGGATCATAAAGTTCTGGGCCAGCTCACAACAACATTTGCTGCCTGTGGCAAAACGACAAACAACACTCTTTCCCTTCCAATCACCATTCCTGGTGCCCAAACTCTATCAAGATAGTTGCCCAAGATAACAAACCCAGCCATAGTCTTCTGCTATTCATGACACCTCCAATCCTCTGCTTAAAGTTGCTGCTTTGGTCATCCAAGTCAACCTTAATAATAACAATCATCTGCTGTCAAGTCAATTCTGGCATATGGCAACCCATTCCAAGGTTTTCTGGGTAACGAGTATCGAGAAGTGGTTTTCCCCTTCCCTTCCTCTAGGAGGCGCCCTGGAAGTGTGCAGCTTGCCCAAGGCCACCCAGGCTGGCTCTTTTCCACAAAAAGGAATCAAACTCCCAACCTCTGACTCCACAGCCAGATCCTTAAACCACAAAGCTATCCAGCTAGTTGAGTTAACGTTACAGTGGTATATTACATCCACCCTTTTCCTTACAATGTCTTTGGCAAGAAATAAATGTGGGAGGAAAATGAAAGAAATTAAAGGTATATTCCTTTGATCCTGGGATGGACTCACTTTCCATTTTTTCAAAACAGCCATCACTGATCCTTTGACCAAGATCAGGGGAATATTCCATGTTCAAGCCATCTGCTAATAAGCAATTTTGGTCTTTGCCTAAAGCTGGCTATGGGAGAGAGGTATAAAAAGAGCACTGCAGTGGGGAATCGAACTCCCAGCCTGAGCTATCTAGCCAGCTTCCTCTTATGTCTCACATTAAAACAATGATTGGCAATTAGTGCTTGAAATATCAGAGCTCCTCTCTTCCAGCAGTGAAATGCATCTTTTCTCCACCATCCACTTCACCTTTTCTAAGAGGCTTTTTGTGGCTAGGTTTGTAAAATAATTATTGCATACTGAACGACCAACTATTGGCTTTCTTACTATCCTCTCAAGGAGATTTGTTTATACTGCAGATCTTACACACCTCTTGCTTCTTTGTTTTTTTTTCCTCCTCTGAGGATACATCATTTGGTTTTTGAGATCTTACACACCTCCTGCTTCTTTGTCTGTTTTCCCCCCCTCCTCTGAGGATACATCATTTGGTTTTTGTTTTGTGCAGGAGAAAGCTATGAAACATCTTCTAGTCTACACATAGGATCCAGATTCAGAATGTGTGTGTGCCTACTTATATAACACATGGGCTGGAATCCTGTTGCATAACTTCTGCCTGCAGAAGAGTGATTCTGTCATCAGAGCAGTTGCTTTTCAGTAAGTTAAAACTTCCTATTTATGTCCTGTGGCTTTTCAGGCTCCCGTGCAAACCCTTTCCATTGCACAGAAGTCATGGGAACTGCAGGACTAAAGGAGGATCTCTTTTTGGAGATTGAGCCTCCCAGAATCATCCAGTCAAGCTTGGCCGCTGGAAAAGGAAATTGAACTTAGTCAAAGCAATGAGCAACAGATAAGCAATCAGTCAGATCAGACTGGAATTTGAGATCTTTATTTTCCCAGACAATTTCCCAGTCCTCCATGGGAGGTCCAAGCATCTATCTAGAACTATGGAAAAGTTTGCTGTCCAAGAAGATGCAGCAAGGCACAATTTTGGTAGCTTACCAAATGTAGCAGCTATGGACAGATTGAATGTTCTCCAATAAAATCCCTAATGTTCAAACTCTACTATACAGCTAGCATCTTGTGATAAGCAGAACTCCCATACAGAAGGAAGAGTGTATGTTTATCTTAGCAAGAGCTTTCCTCAGTTCTGCATTTTTGCAAATTAGCTGGTTTTTTGTTTTGTGATTGCTCATATAGGGATAATTCTAGATTTACTTTTCAAGCTCTCATGTAGTCCATTGCATAGAAGCCCTAGGAACTGTGGGATGAAAGGAAGAATTCTTTTATTATGGAAAATCAGGTACATTGCTTTGAAGAGACGGCTCATGTTGAATGAAAAGCAAGCTTACTGGCTTCTAATGAGATGCAAAATTGCCATGCAGTTTGATCCCAACCGTCACTCATGTTGGTCAATGAACTGAACTTCTTTGTGAATCGAGAGAGAGAGAGAGAGAGAGAGAGAGAGCAGTTGTTGGTGGTACCTGAGCAAGATTTTTCCGCTGCATATTATCTAAGAAGTTCAGAACGTATCCTAACTCTTGGTAGTCCTTTGCAGCTAAACTGGCCAAAATGTGGGCTGAAACTGTTATGTTTCTCTTCTTGGCCTGAAGCATGCCCAATCGAGACTTGATGGAATCGTGGGATGTTTTCTGACCAAATGATTCCTGAAGGTAAGTCAGTGCCTCCTTGTGTCTTCCTGTCAATCAACAACAATATAATCACAGAGTACCGAAAGATGGCAAAGCGATCACATCTATGATACTTTCTCTTAGATATATTGTATAAAATGCTCATGCCTTTTCTTTGCAAAACTTGGCCAAATTTGGTGAGGGAGTCAGTGATGAAAAAAGGAACGTACACGACCTTCCCCTGTTATATATTTTGGGGTGCTGGGTACGGGGACATGTTATGGGGTGGCCATCTTACCTGCTCTGTCAGATTGATGGTGACCAGATTAAGTGTCCCAAAGATTCCTCCAGGAGAGGTAATTCTGAAAACATCTAAAATGGTGGTGGTGAATTCAATGGTGCTTCCAAAAGATCTGGAAACTTCTCTCCAATTTTTTTTTACACCACCCTTTCACAGGTAATCAAAACAAGCTGAACCACAAACTTTGAAAAATCACTTACCATCTGCAGCCAAAAGGTCTACATAGATGATGTGACTGTTTATGTCTGTGCTGTTTATCTTCACCAGGGCTTCTCCAACAACTGACAGCTCCTTGAAAATCTCTCCACCCAGAAGCTTCTTTTGAGCATCAAATTCCAGCAATGCATCCTTGCAGTGAGAAAGCAGCCACTGGTGGATAAGTGTCTGGGCTTCCTTTTTCAAGGACAGGATTTCTGTAACTGTCCAGACTGTATCGGCCCGAAGGGCTGAAGTCAGATTGTGCACTGTTTCCTACAGGGGTAAGACAAACACAACAAATTAAAAGGCCATAGAAACAGTTCATTGGTTGACGGCCTTTGGACATGCAGGCATTATGGGATAACCAAAGGCCATGACTTTTTTTAAAAAAATCCACTGTTGCTTCCTAGGCCGGTTTGTGAAGAAGATCTGGAAAAGAAAGGAGACTTTGATCGCACTTTTTGGTAACAGCAGATAACCAGTGGAATGGGTCTCTCCTCCCCTGGGGCATTTCTAAACAAATGTTTTGGGTAACCATCCATCAGAGATACTTTTGCTGTGGATGTCCTGCTTTGGTAGGGCCCCAGATTCAATGATCCTTGGGGTCTCTTCCAGAGGTACAATTCTAGGATGCTCCATGAGATCCACATCAAATCCAATTCATCAGAGAATCATGATGGAGTTGGAAGGGGCTTCGAAGGCCATTCCATCAAATCCAATTCATCATAGAATCATGGAGTTGGAAGGGGCTTCGAAGGCCATTGGGTCCAAGCCCCTGCTTAATGCAGGAATCCAAATCAAAGCAGATCTGAAAGAGGCTTGCCCAGTGCTGGAGCGCTCACCACCTCTTGAGGTAATCAGTTCCATCATTGTACTACTCTTAACAGTTAATATGTTTTTCCTGATATTCAGCCTAAATCTGCCTTTCAGTAGCTTGAGCCCATTATTACGGTGTTAGACGAAGATACACATGACCCCTTCTGGAATCAAAAATATGTGCTCAAAGACTTTAATTAGTTTCGACAAGGATATTGTGGATACATTTTTAGGTCTGCTTCCTTAATAGCCAAAATGGCATCTAATTAGCAGCCTTTTATTCCTGGCTGGTAAACAAAAGATTTCCATTTCAATCTGGGTGGTATTAAAGAGGGATGAGAGGAACAACACTTAAATCCTGTTTATGATGATGATGTGTGGCATCTTAGAGAATGGATAAATCCGCTATTATAGTGATGTTCAATAAGACACCACTTGGGGTTTCTAGCACAAAAGCACAGTTTGCACTGAATGGCTGAAAACAGACATTAAAAACAAAGGAGAAAGAGAAAAGAGAGAAGCTTTTTCAGATGTTAATCCACTTTAACCTTGATCAAAATCTGTTTTTGTCACCTCCAGGGCTGTCACGTGGGCAGAGGTTTTCAGAGAGAAGGGAAAAGTTTGGAACCAACTTTTAGAGAAATTGGAAGAAGGAAGTGCCGAAGCAGGACTGCCAGCTGAGCATCAGGAAGAACCAAAATCATGATGCAGAAGAACTGCACAAAATGAAAATAGAAAACAGAAATGAAAATAGTCTGAAATTTGATATACCGTATTTTTCCATGTATAAGACTATTCTTTTGTATAAAATCTTTAAACTAAAAATTGAGGGTCATCTTATACACGGAAGTAAGCTAAGGAAGGAACAAAAACAAGTGGAGGGGAAAGCAGGGATCAAAGCAATCCTGCAGCGCTTTGATCCCTTTCCCCCCACCCTTGTAGAAATGAAAATAGTCTGAGATTTGATATACCTTATTTTTCCATGTATAAGACTATTCTTTTGTATAAAATCTTTAAACTAAAAATTGAGGGTCATCTTATACACGGAAGTAAGCTAAGGAAGGAACAAAAACAAGTGGAGGGGAAAGCAGGGATCAAAGCAATCCTGCAGCGCTTTGATCCCTTTCCCCCCACCCTTGCTAAACCCCACTTAGATTTCTTAATTTTAGATTAGAAAAGTGGGGGGCGTCTTATACATGGAGATGTCTTATACACAGGAAAATATGGTATCTTGGTTCAACCATACATCCAAAGGGAGAGTGCAGTCAAGAAATCAACAGAAGACTGAAGCTCAGAAGGGCAGCAGCGCAGGAATTAGAAAAGATCATCAAGTGTTAGTACGTGTCCCTGGAGACCAAGTTCATCCCTACTCTTGTTCCTGATCAGGTGCGGAAGTTGGACGGTAAAGAAAGACGACAGGATGGGAGTTGCAGGCAGAATGATTTGTTTGAAATATGGTGCTGGAGGAAAGTTTTGTTAATACCCTGGTATGCCAGAAAGGACAGCCAAGTGGGTACTAGATCAAGTCAAGCCAGAACCATCTCCAGAGACAAAAATATTGAAACTAAGATTGTCCTATTGCGGACACATCACGAGAAGGCAGGACTGGATAGGTGGAAGGCAACAGGGAATGAGGAAGACCCAATACGAGATGGAGTGACTCCCACAGGCTTGAGTTTGCAAGAGCTGAGTAGGGCTCTTGAGGACAAGATTACTCATTCATAGAGTTGCCATAAGTCAAGGGAGACTTGATGGCATGCAACAACAAATGACTATTCATTGTTGCAGCTATTGTGTTCACAGGCACTTATCATTAGCCAGCTATCTTAACAGAATGTTTATGTCAACCGTTGCATTAAAAACACAATGTGATTTTTCTGTAACCTATTTCATTCTAATCCCATCCCCCCCCCAAAAAAATTGAACCCTAATTTGGAATATAGCCCTGGGTGCTTCGGAAGATGTGGACGGTAATCCGTGAAAGCTCAGGGGTGGGGGGAGAACCAACCGATGAAGCTTGAAAGTACACCATGACCTTTTTCTTCTTCTTTGAAACACACCAGATGGAAAAAGCTCCCTGAGGCTGAAGTTCCAGCTCTACCACATCTATGGTGGGGCCTTATGGGGGTGAGGATCCAGGACGTTTGTCTGGTCAACCAGCTGGTGACCCCAGTTGCTCATTTCTAACAGCCATCGTGGAAGAAAGCCAGATTGCTTGAATAGGTCTAGACTGCCCCCCTGCCTTTTTTCTTGGTAATGCACCCAGTCCCTTTGCTGAACATTTCAGGGTCTAATTCACAGCATTATGGGAAGCTTTAGTGAACATTTTTCACTCTCTGATCAGTTTGACATTTCTAGGTCATGCTCGAAGTCCAAATCACAAGACTCAACATCTCTTAGATGGCGTCATCTCTTTATCCTCTCAGACTCTATTATCAAAGGCGCCTAAATTACTTAAAGGGTGGGGTGGAAATCCTAAAAGCACCCAGAAGGAGTACAGACAAATATTGTTTGAACGTCAGAGTTTCCATTTCAACAGAGCTAAAGTGACATCTTCTCAAAGTCATACCTTCTGTGGGTATCTCATCTGAGACACAACTTGCTTCAGAAATGGATGATCATTCCCCTTCAGTTCCCTTTCCATAAGGATACCCAAATCCGTTCATTTCTTCTCCTTTGGGTTAGGAAGAACTTGGGATTTTAAGCCTTCCAGTGTGGGAGAAACAAGCATCCACCAGTTCTTCCATCCAGGGTTCGAATGCTCAGATTTTCAAGCCTGGATTTCCACTCTCTATATTACTCAACAGTGTTCATTCTGCCCTTCTTATAACTCCCAGACCCTGCTTCTGCGAACCCCACTCTGTCTGCCTTTACTCCATTCATTCAAGCCTTCAGTTTGCCAAATTGCGCTTCTCACACAACAAGAGAGACTGGCTGATTGTGCAGAAAGCAACAAACAACCCATCCACTGCTTTTACTCCTTAAAGATCCATGCAACTCATTGTCAACCGCTATGGATACAAATTCTTGCTTGTGTCATCTTCAGGTGCTAGGATGATGGATGATGAAAATTGGCTTTTGCTCAAGAAGAGGTGGAGGTATTTCGTGGCATTCTTGACAGGATATGAGAAGGAAAACAGGAATGATTTGGGGGTTTGCACATAAATGTGAAAATCGTGCAAATGTTGCTCCAGTGCAAATGAATGAGTTGACGCAACTAGAGTAAAAGGACATGGACTTTAAATGATTGTTTGTCTCTTTTTACGCAATCAGCCAGTCTCTTTATACTTGCCGTTCATGTGGGCTTTGCTTCTCAAAGTGAAAGACTAGTGTTTTAGGGTCTACATAGGATCATAAATCTGAGGAAACATGGATTCCCGTTCCCATGAACAGAAACCTCACCATCTTCAGACACATTGGTACTTCCATGGAGAAAATAACAACGGAGAGAAAAAGCAGATTAACCCTCTATATATGTTGTCACCCACCATGTAAGTCAGTGATTCCCAGCCTTGGTTCCCCAGATGTTCTTGGACTATAACTCCCAGAAATCCAGGCCAGCAAATCTAGTGGTGAAGGCTTCTGGGAGCTGCAGTCCAAGAAAATCTGGGGAACCAAGGTTGGGAAACACTGATGTAAGAAATGACTGAATTTCTAAGCATGATTATACAACACTTAATGCTGGCTTCCTGAAGCCCTGGTGGTGGCTACCATAGAGAACGCATAACGGTGTGGCTTTTTCTCTCCAGCAAAGAGCAAAACGATGATCCTGATCTTCAAGCTGGAGGAATCAGGAAGGAGAGACAATTTGAAGTAAGTTGGCGGTCTTCCTGAAAAGATGATTCCTCTTGCCTCTTGTGCTTGAGAGAAGGATCTCTTGTGACCAGAGCAAGACACGTTCCTTTTAAATTTTGGGGCTACGGTGTCCCCCATCTTAGTCCACAAACGACTCCTGATGAGAGGTCTCAACTGATTGATTGAGTCAACCAGTTCTTTCAGACAAAGGCCCTTGCCTGCACTCACAAAACTCTCTTCAATCTATCCATGTGTGTGTGAGTCAATGAATGAGTGAAGGAATGGATGATAATCCCAAAGACCGTACCTTTTCTTGGTTCAGGGACAGATGAACAAATCCCTTCCCACAGAGAGCCTGGACATTTGTAGGGTCGTCTTTGAGTATGGTGTTGAAATCAAAGATGGCCGTTTTTTTCTGACCAAGCTGCCCATAACACCGGGCCCGGATGAGCAGGGAATCAACTGCATAACCACCTGAATAAGAGGAAAAAACCCACCAAGTTTTAATAAACAATGTCTTTCTTCAGTGGGTCAGGGTATATTTAAGAACCAAGACTTGCATACAAGCCAATACCTGTGCTTTAAAACACAAAACAATTTAAATGTATATAATTAAAACTATTCACAGTAATCCATTGCAGTCAGCCATGGGGAAAATGGCTGAATCAGGTGGAAACAAAGCCACAAATTGGGAAAAATGCAGAGAAGGGCATCCAAATTTTAGAGTGGGAATTCAGAACAAAGTTTTTTGTCATAAAGTCTGAAGCAAGAACAAGAAGGGAGCAGAAGAGAGATTTGGAGAAATCCAGCAAGACAGAGGCTGGAAAATGTTCTCATCCCTCATACTTACACAGTTTCTGAAGTTCAGCTAATTACTGAACACATAGGGAAAAGCTAGCATATGATGTAGTAAACTGTGTCAGCTGAATGACCCCTCTGCCCGTTCATCCCAACATGAAACCAAGCAACTCTCGTCTTGCCTGGGGATGTCTCACCCCAAACAATAGGGGCTTAAGTGCAGAAGGAAGACTCTTGGCACCAAAGTTTGAAAACCTATGCAGTTTTTTTTAATAATAATAATGGGGTCATCATAAGAATTTTTTAAAAGAACCACAAGAGTGGATAAAATCAAAGGCCTGCTGAGGCTTCTCCCATACTCTCTCAACCAGGGAGGGGCAACCTCTAGAGAGCCAGGGCTAAATACACCAATCTCTTGACATTGTTGGGCTAAACTTTCTCCTTGAACCTCTCCTTCTCAAAACTGTTTTCTTATAGAAGTAGTTGTTTTACTGGAAAAGCCCCTTTCTGCCCTCTAGTGGCAATATATATATAAACATATGTAATATTTGTGGGAAGAGTGGTGGGTCGATCAAGGGTCACACATATGGCTAACTACGTTTATTTCTAACTAGTACTATCATCATCCTAGAATTGCAGACCTGGAAGGGGCCCCATGGATTATTCAGTTGAGCCCTTCAAAGAGGCACAGTGGGGAATTTCAGCCAGAGACCTAAACCAGTGGTTCCCAACCTTGGGCCTTGGGGAATTGAAGCCAGAGACCTAAACCAGTGGTCCCCAACCTTGGGACTCCAGATGTTCTTGGACTACACCTCCCAGAAGCCTTCATCCCCACCTCTGCTGGCCAGGATTTCTGGGACTGGAAGTCCAAGAACATCTGGAGGCCCAAGGTTGGAGACCACTGACCTAAACCATTGAGATATCCAGCAATTCTGTTGGTCTCTGAATTCGAAGCCAGAGACCTAAACCAGTGGTCCCCAACCTTGGGACTCCAGATGTTCTTGGACTACACCTCCCAGAAGCCTTCATCCCCACCTCTGCTGGCCAGGATTTCTGGGACTGGAAGTCCAAGAACATCTGGAGGCCCAAGGTTGGAGACCACTGACCTAAACCATTGAGATATCCAGCAATTCTGTTGGTCTCTGAATTCAGAGACTGGCCAAAACATTTTTGGGGATTTCTGATACTTGGGTCAAGAAGTGAAACTCTTCCCATTGGCCTTTCAGCCCCAATTTCACTCCAAATTCATCTTTATCGGAGCAAAGTTTCCTTTAACTTTTTAAAGAAGGTTCCTCTGGGAAGGAAAAAAATCAACAGTGTTTTTACTGCCACCATGTGGCAGGATCTCACCCCTTAAATTAGGATTCTCCGTCTGTCTTGAATAACACAGCTTTAACTGTGCAGACATATTGAGCTGATGGATGCACCGTTAGATGCTGAATTCCTTTCTTGTCTTTACGACATTGAACAGCAGATAGGAAAAAAAATAATCAGGCTTGCTTTATGCCACTTTTTAAAAAAAACTCAGGTTCTTCCCACTCTGAATCTGAACCTTTTTGGTGCATTCAAGGCCCCTTCCAATGCAATCACGTTATGGTTCATATTCCGGATGAGATTTGGGCGCTCTCCCTTCCTGTTTTGCTCTGAAGCGATTTAGCCAAGGCAGAGCTTCCTTACCCGTGAGAAGCCAGCTTCAGTGCATCAACCAGTCGCTGGCCTCCGTCTTTCTTGTTCGAGGTTGTTTTGCAAAAAGGGCCATCAACTGATTCTCACCTGATGTTGTGCTAAGACGGTTGCTTCCTTAACAACTTGCCTTTCGTGGTGTAACTGATTTTTCTTCTCTTTGTTCACTGCGACATCTAATATAGCTGTCGGCAAGTGAAGGCTAGTGGAAACCCTTTTATATTCTTGAACAAAATGGATCTTTGTCTTTCAGGAGAAGCTCACACAATGTACCAAGCACTAAGAGCGTAAGCAGTGATGAAATCGGCCCATGAGGGGAAGCGGGAGAAGCAAGGAAGCAAACCTTTCCAAAAAAGAGAACAAGTTTCACATTCCCCCCCCCCTCGAATTCCAAACTGTAGTCAATTTTTTTTTTACACACAACCAAACCCAATCTTACTATGGGTGTGGTTCCTTTCCTTTCCTTCTCTGATGGTCTTCTATACTATGTGACTGAAATCCACACATTTCTTCATAAACAAGATTGAAAGGACTTGATTTTTTTTTAAAAAAAATGGCTTGAGGTATTTTTAATTTTTTGAAAAAGGAGTTTGATATTTAAAACAAAGACGTGTGGGAGATTTAGAGATCTGTGCACACACACTCCACCAAAGCTGACAAATGTTATTTTTTGGGGGGAATGCAACTGTAGAGATTTTTCTTCTTAACATGGCCGCACCCCATCATGCACTGGGAGATACACTGGAGTTAGCTCTACAATAAGACCATGCATTTATATCAGTAGTTCCCAACCTCAGGTTGGATTAAACTCCTGGAAGCCTTCACCTCTAGCTATGGTGGCCAAGACTTCTGGGAGTTGTAGTCCCAGAACATCTGGGGACACAAGCTTAGGAAGCACTGATTTCTATGGAGCTGGCCCTGGCATTAGGCATCCAGAGATTGTAGCCTTGGGCAGCAGACGGTTGGGGATGGCATGCAAAGTTTCTTAGGGGAAAAGCTTTTACCCCCAATGAAAGCAGCAGAACTTCACTACACACCACCAACAGAGAAGAAAGAGGTAAGGGGCATGGTGGACATCTCTTTAAGGCTGTATAGAAGGCACTTCCACAAGAACCACAGCTTCCAGGAAGCAACATGGGAGCTGGCATGCAGGGGATTTATCATGTCTTCACTCTGCAAAGACCGTCTGACCCCCAAGATAGAAAGATATGAGCTGCTTTGCCAATTGTGTTTTTTCCCCCCCTGCTACCATGTTGGTGGCCAATTTCAGGGAAGTGGGTCCGAGCATCTGTTGTTTTTATCTCTCCGGCATGGCAAAGTGGGATGGTGGGTCTTTGTTTCCCAAGGTTGGGAACCAATGAATTAGAGTGATCTTAAGCTGCTATAATGGCTGAGTGCAGACACCATCTTCGATTACGACAAGGATAGAGGAACGATGAGGGTAAGGGCTTCAGTGGAAGACTTCCAAGTTTTCTATTGCGCTACCTATGCGCTGGGTCTTGCTGCCTGAGGAGGAACAATGGTAGGTGGAAAATCCATGCTCAAGAAGGTCAGTGGCACATCCCTCCCAGGACCCATGTTTATTGCCCTCTCAGTTATGGCAGCCAGGGCTGAAACCCCAAATTGGCTCCACCCTAGTTAAGGCTCTGATTCAGTGGCATCTTACCGGCGGCGGTGATAGACAACGAGAGGTAGAGAATGGCCTCTTTGAGGTAACCTTCTCTTTGCTTGTTCTTCAAGATCGTCATGGCTCTGGACTGGCAGTGTCTTTGCATCAACGCTCGGTCTCCATCTTTTAGGACCTTCACAAGGCTCAGAAAACAGGAGGTCTCTCCGCTCTGGGTAATTTTCTTCAGCAGCTTCATTCAAGGAGATGGAAAGAAAAGAGGAATCAACAGCAGGATGTCCTAAAACATGTCCTGGGATTTAGCGATGGGGTCCTTTTTAATTTTTCTCTTTTTTTTAAGCTTCAGTCTTTACCTTTTTAGGAGAGGCTTTCGTTTGGGAAGAAGAAGAGTTTGGCTCCTGATCTCCTCAGCCCCAGGGTCACCTTTCATAAAAACTGGCTTTCCCCGTGACTGCCGGTAACCTTTTTTTTCCCCTCCAGAGAGTGGGATATCCTACTCTAGAACAATTAACATGACTCTTCATACCCGTCTTTAGAATTCACTTTTTCTTCAAAGTAATCTGTCCTGAAAAAGTCTGAGGTGAAGCTTTCGGGTGGTTTCGTTTGAGCTGTTTTTGTTATTTATTTATTTATTTATTTATTTATTTATTTATTTATTTATTTATTT